AAAAAATGAAAGGTGAATAAGTGGGATTTTTGGCACACGCTATAGTTTAGTTTTACTGTCATTTTATCAAGAACGTATAAGTATATAATATACCTGAGTTACGAGAGCATAGAGTGGCAATGTACTGTAACTGCAGAGTACTTGAATAAATACACTGCATGTAACAAAACAAAAGCATTAGATTATTTGGCTTTTAAATATATATGAAAAAAAAAAAAAAAAAAGAAAAGCTCACCCAATGACGAGCCTTGGAACAATGTACCGAACTTGTCCCATGATGCAAGAGTCGAATCCATATTGAACCTACAAAGATTTTTGAAAAAAATATAATAATAAACAAATAAAAAAAGTTCACCTTGTGGGAAAAGAAAAAAAACATATATGGGTTGCGAAAATTTAAGTATGAAATCAAAAATCATATCCAAACTTACCAATATCCAGAAGAAAAATGCAATCTCGAATGCATTTTGGAAGAGGATGAAATGGATCAAGAAAAGCACAATGTGGGGTCGATGGAACCAAAAGTGATCGTCAGACGGCTGAACGACCAATTCGCCCTCGATGGCCACGTGTTTTTCGGCAACCTCATGCGCCAGCTGGCTAATCACGTGCTCGAGTTTAGTGCCAACAGCAAGTAGCAGCTGAAGAAAAAAAAATAATATAATTTTATATTTATAATATCGGCAAATGTATGGAGTCTCGAGGAAATGCATACATGCAGCAAATTGAAAGTAGGGATAAATATTGAGTACTCGTAACTTAGAGAAGATGGTTGTTTTCTAAGTCGATTCATTCAAACCTCAATCAACTATTGTGCATATAAGAAAATAGAAGTAATTCATTAGGATACTTACGAAAAAGGGAATAAAAGCAATCCAAAAGTAAGTATGCCAACCTGCAAATTTAGAAAAAGTTAAAAATATACTGGCATTGCAGTAAAGGTCAATAAAACACGGTATAGAAGATCACTACTGAAAATGAATAGAATTAGCGAAATGAAAAGCAAAATTGGAAGTCACTATTGAAAGAAGATATAAATATTATTATTAACATGTTGGAACTACAATACATTTTCCTTCAAATTGATGGAACATAAACGAAAGCATAAATCTTTAGCAAACTCAACTTCTCAGTTCTGATTTTTCGAACCCTATATATCAGAAGAAAAATACTGGAAAAGCACGAGAAGTGGGTGATTCCTCTCGAATGAATTGCCTCTTGGAAATAAAAGTGTTAATATTTTCCAAGTAACCATAAGCGAATTGACCGGTAGCCTCTATTTAAATGAGACCAAATTACAATACAGTGGCAGTACGATATTAGATTTATTGAAGCTGAACTTGTATAATGTCTAAATTCAATAAAAAAATATACTCGAATAAAAGAAACAAACATAAGAATCTAAAGACTAGTAAAGTAAATAGACTGGTCACTGGTATACCTTGGACGTTCAGCAACAAGAACAGAATGACAAAAACCCACAAATACCAACTGTAAAAAAAAAAAAAAGGGATTTCAGCCTCATACACCAACATTCGTGGCCAATAAATATATTGGCAGTAATAACAATAGTTACAGTCTATTACAAGAGTAAATTTAGCGTGAGTTAATCTCATAAATAAATCATTTACCTTATGCCAACAACTTTCTTGAAATCGGCTTCCAAAGCACGTATCATGTACTTGTGGAAATTAAACTTTGGGTTTCCTCGGCAGTGTGTCTGTGGCAAAGGACAAGTTAATATTTAATATAACCATCAAAAAATGCAAAAATGTATGCAACAGCAAAACAAGTACAAGTTAAAGGAGAAATAAAACAAAGTATATGGTACATACCATTATAAAACCAAGTCTGAGAGCCGCATAATCTGATTTTGTGACAGAGCCATAGAACTGTTTAAAAAAGGAGTGCTGAAAAATAGAGCAATTGGAGAAGTTAACATTTAGACAATTATTATAACCAACAATTTCTTTAAAAAGAAAGTAAGAAAATGGAAGGATTAATAGAATCAGTCTCTTGGAGTCTTTTCATTTCAAAAGACAGATAAGGCACGAGCACGAAGTTAAGATAAACGAGAAGCTCAGATTTCCCAACAAAAAACTTTTTGACTCACCAACCAACCCAAAATGGCAGATTGTTTACCCAAGCCCAAAAATCGTTTCTTGATGAAATCATGTTCCTGAACATGGGTGACCTGGGGTTTCAAAGCTGCAAATTAAAATTGAAGATTATGACAGAGTAAAAGCAACCAACAAAATATAAACCAAGAAAAGAATAGAAACATACTATTTTTGAAAATGAATTAAATTCATACTGAATAAAATCATACTCCCCAAAAATCTAACTCTGACCACTCTTTCAAATGGATGGCTAAAACAACTATCTATGTCACAAGCTCATGCCAAACACCACAACAAGTGTATTATAAAGTAATATGATCCAAAAATTTAAGAGCTTAAAAATTCTAATATGTATAGTTGCTTACAACATATTATGGAGTAAAAATGCTCAAGAATAGTGAATTTATACCATGTGTGGTGTCATAATTATCTTTAGCAATAGCGTCTTCCCAACGTTTCCATTGCCGTATCTACAAATAAATTTCAAAAAAATTTACATGGAATCTTAAAGAAAACATCGGTAAAAATATATACATAATTAAATAGATAAAGGTAGTAAGTCGTGCACCTTTGCCCCTCCAAATACAACCGTGAGAACAGAAAATGTCACGTGGACAATAGCTAGAACAAAGATAAAGATGTGTAGATGATGCACAGCTTCAAGTGATAATAGAGGAACCTTATCCTGCAGATAAAACACAAAGTACATGTTATGAAAATAAATGTATGAAAGTGCATATGCAAACACCTTACCCAAAAATGAAAAGGAAAAAAAAAAAAAAAAAAAAAAAAAAAAAAAAAAGAGTAGAAAACTAAGTGTAAAAGAAGTGTTCAAGTGTTCTCATGATCCAAAACACAAGTTAAGAATATTTTAGAGTTGACTAGCTGCATTTGTCTCCACTCACTTTTTTGTCTTTTATATTGCTTCTTCACCTCAAAACAGATCAACCGTCAATATTTACACTTCACTTTTACTATGTAAAGCAGTTCCTCACCAAGTGCCACAACTTCACATGGAAATAGTCCCAAACCATAGAGCGATATGCTTATTAACAAACCTAGAATACTGCTACTACTTCAGAACACCCACAAATGATAACTAGTTCAACAAAGCTTTCAATCACAACAGCTACCAAGAAAGGAAGAGCAAATAGCATTTTCTCCTTGATCTTACTACAGCTACTCGTGTTCTATCGAGCACAACCATAATTAGATAATCCACTTCTGAGCAAAACAAATAACCTAATATAAAAGCTTGCAAAATCGATGAATACTCAAACAAAGCATACAACAGTTAAAGTAAAGCCACAAAACTAATTAAATTAACCTTTGCAGCACAGTAACCTCCAGCTGCTCCTTCAGCAAGCAAACGTCGATTATGCCCTTTCGCTTCAGGGGAGCCGTTCGATTCATTTCCACCAGAAGATTCGGATGGCAATGAGCATGGCAGAAGATGTACCATGATATCATGAGGTACACAAATCTTGACTATACGGCCTTGGAATACAGTCAGCATGAGAGATATGAACCCAAGGAGCATCAGTTCTGTCGAAAACAATATCATTCACAAGATTAAAATCATAAATTTATATTCGAGGAAATTGAAGATATAATTATCAAATCGTATAAACGAGGTTTGCCACATTAACAAACAAACAAAGAAGAAAATGCTTAAATAAATGAAACATGAAAGAAAGACATACATTCAGGGAAGAACGAAAGAGAATTGGTATAATGGGTGAAAAGTTACCTTCTTTAACTTTCTGTAAAGCTTCAAAGAGCGGCTTTTGGTTCTTCCTCTTCAAAGTCTGCACAAATTTTGCAAAAGGTACAAGCTCTCGCGTTTACAGAAAAACAAAGAAAACAAACCTTTCTAGGAACAAAAACAATTTTGAAAAAAAATAAAAAATACAGAAATCACTAACTCAAGTGTGAACAATTCAAAATCACAAAAGCTAATCGTAACAAAAAAAGATACCAAATTTCCATTTCTCCAAACTCAAATCAAAACAATTACAACAAAAGAAGTGAAAAGGGTCCCAAATCATGGTCTACATTCTCAAGCTACATACAAACAGAGGAGATAAATGAGAAACCTTTCCGGCGCAGTGGAGGAGGCGCTCGGCCGCCAGAGAGATGCCGACGATGACGCTGCACACGGCGGCGACAACCCACGTCGGCGTGTACTCCAACGTCGTCCCTTCCCCTTCCCCACCGCCGGCCATTGCCCCCTTTACTCTTTTTCCAAGAAGATTGAGAAACAAATCACAGACCCAATTCGAAAAATTTCACTCTCTAACCAAACGGATAAATTGAAAAAAAAAATAAAAAAAATACAATGGGTTCTTGGGTTTCGCGTGAATCTTGTGAAGAAGCACGAGCAAGGATGGTGTGGAGAATTTGAGACGTGATAGCAAGCAACTGTGTGTCTGTGTGTGGATTTTTCAATAAATTTGACGAGTAATTGCAGGCGGAGATTAGAAAAATAGTAGGACACGTTAACGTTATTTTCACTCGTTTTTACAGTCAAGACAGATTTCATTAAAGGAGGAAAATAGGATTAAGTGTGGGATTACCTAATAGATTTATTTCTTCTTTGCATAAGAATTGATAAACAAATCCTAATGATAATAATAATGATAATGATTTTTTAATTTTACAAAATACGTACTTTTTTATTAAGAAAATTTATTGTCTGGTTTTGCTATTAAGTCAACAATTGACTCGATAGTGGAGTCAACATTATATATACAACAAGTAAACATACCGTATTTGTTAATTACTTAAATGACACTAATATAATTTTATTAATATGATATGTTTTATTTGTTGTATATAAAAGGTTGACTCTATTATGAAGCGAACTGTTGGATTCATAGCAAAACCGGCATCCGATCAGTAATGGAACAATCTAATTTAAATTTATCAATTGAAGTTTTATGTAATTCATACTCGCTTTTTTGTTTGTCAAACAACAACTATATTGATATTATGGTGGGGTGAATAATTACCGACTTACATCTACTATAATTTGAATTAGAGTTGTCAAACCAAGTGAATTGTTGGCGAACACAAGTCGCTCGACCCATAAAAATTTAAGCTGACTCACTCATTTATTTAAATGAGACTACTCGAACAAATAACCAAGTTTTATTTTTTATTTTTTATTTTTTTTCAAAAGGAGTTGAACCAATAACAAACAATTCATTTATAATGTGTTGATTTATTTTGTACGAGTTGTAAATGAATCAATCAAGTCGAACTTTTTTGCGACCATCTCGTTTGTTTTAAATTTACTAAGTGAATCGAGTTGAACCATCTTTTCACGAGCTCAAACGAACACGAGTTCAAACATAAGTAGTTCAGCTCGAATAACACCTCTAATCTTATTCTTGAAGTCTTCTTTATATATTCTTTATATACTGATCTATATATAAGGTGAAATATAAGATAAGATGGTGACATTGGTTAAAAAAACACACACGTTGTGATTAAGAATTGTATGTTATTTTTGTTGGAAAAATCAGTTGTAAAACTTGGGTTTGACCCGGTTTTGACTGAAT